GTAGCTCGCGTAAGAGCGAGGCAGGGAACAACCGTGAACGTGCGCGTGAATCTCTCCTCCTTTCTTTCTCTCCCCCCTCTCAATCACTCTCTCTCTCTCTCTCTCTCTCTCTCTCTCTCTCTCTCTCTCTCTCTCTCTCTCTCTCTCTCTCTCTCTCTCATTCTCTATATGCTGGTGCACGTACAGCCGGTCAGACGTTTTACGGTTCGTCGAATCTTGAGGCGACGACCTCTCCGCCGAGGGCAAACGAGCCTACGGATTTTGTAATGATTCCACCTCAACGCCGTGAGCGAAGATACGGCGTATCTGAACGTGAGCGAGGAAGGGGTGGGTGGCATCAGGGTCATCACTGTTGGCAAGGGAACGTGCGTATCGTCATATCGTGGAATATCGAGGCGGTTCTCGGTTGACACAACGCGGTGCATTCTTCGTATTACGTGTAGACTCGTGCAGGCACGTTCGATATTAGTCAAGTTACGCACACACACTTGTTCAAGTTGTGTTTCAGGTCAAGTAACTTTAAGTGGACGTATTTCGTGGAATAACACAGTCGGAGCAATTGTACGTGAAATATCAATTATCGCGTTGACTGTTAATCACGAACACGGCAAGAATATTACTTTTGTCAGTTTTGTGCTGCGCGTGCGGTGATACGAAACTCCGCGAAATTTGTTAAGAATGGCAGGTGAGTCGATATAGTTACAACGTGGTCTGCACGTGGAGAACGAACGAAGACGAACGGAACCGTCAAAGCCGTAAATTTCGACAACTCGTATAAATCTTTGGGATTAGGTGGGTTTAAAATTGGCCCACATTTTTTTTTCGTTTGACAATTAATGCATATTTTTTAACCTACTTTTTTTGGAAAAAAAGATGTGTTTCAATGAACTTCATTTCAAACGTTGATTATTTATGCCCCACTTTGTAATAAAGAATTTATTCAAATATTACTTTTTTTTCATTTCAAGAAATATTTTATGTTTAATAATTGAAATAAACGTTTCCCCCCCCCCCCCTTTTTTTCTATATTAAAAAAAATTTCGTGCAGGGAGAGTTTGCAATGCCCGAGACGAAAATCCAGCGTACGACTAACCCGTTTTCGTTGCCACTGCAACATTCTTCTGTCCACCAGAGGAGTAAACGATTCGTTTTCCCTTTGTTTCCACGAGGGATGGATATATTATCTAGATTCCAGCGGCGAGGCTGTGACTTGTTGTTCGACAAACAGTTACCGAGGGAACAATGGCGCGTTCGCGGAGGGAGGAGAAAAAAAAAAAGAAAAATTCAAGCTAGAGACAGTTATTATTGTCTGGCGATATGTCTCTCGTGTTTATGGCGAACTCGTAAGATCCCCCGCAGAGCAAGAGATCTCTCACGCACGTGACTCACGTGGCGAGACGATCGTGGACAAAGGAGGAGAGACTCGGTAGAATGTGATTCGGTCTTCCGTTCGAATACACCGCGATTATCTAGCATTTTTTTCTTTTTTTTTTTTTTCATTTTTGCACCCTTTGCACTCGACTGTCCCTTCCGAGGAGACGTCATACTTGAATCTAGGCAACAGCTCGGACTTCCTCTTTTTATAATTCGCTGATAATTATAACGAACGTATACACTTGGTGTTTTGGTATGACGTGATGTATAATAGCATAACGTCCAGAGTGGAAGCTATAATACCGGCAAGAGTAAAAAAGAGGACAAAAGAATCTCGGAAAGAAGAAATTTTTGGAGGCAGTTCTGAGTCGATTGATTCACTCAATAATTCACATAAACTAGACTTCTTATCCTCTTCACGCCCTTGGCCACGTATGTGGATAGTTAATTTACGTCCTACGAAAAAGCTACTTCCTACTAATTCGCGAAACCGTTACAAAAATAGTTATTTCCTTTGAAACGTGAACTAAATTTTCTTCGTGTGCCACGGATAAAATGAAATGAAACGAAATTTCTTCGTTAGAACTGAAATTAAAAATTCGTCCCTGAAAAAGGTCAGAGAGTTCATTTGAAAGTTTGAAAAGTGGCGGACGATATTATTTTTCCCAGAGATTGAAACTGCTTAGGTATCATTAACTCTTGTATGTTATACTTGTTCTAGCAAACTCACGATGCACGTTGACGATTGCTTTAAATTTAAACGATAATCACACGTTGGAAAGTCAACAAAATTTCGCATTAAATGCCATTTGATTGATTATTTCCAACGCTGTATTATTTATTTATTTAAAGTGACGATTAGTCGATAGACGATACGAAAAACGTTTGTCGGAAGACAAAGGGTTAAATTTCAGTACTGATTGCAGTACTGAAATTACAATTGAAGATATCCATGATGTAATTGTTGCATGATGTACTCTTCCCTCCCCTCTCTCTTTTTTTACATAGGCGACGAACGGTCTATCTCGTCGAAGAGACAAAGGCGAGACGCGCTAAGCGTTGGTGAGAAAAAAAAAAAAAAAATCGACCGACGTGCAGATGCTTCGATTGACTGATAATCGCAGAGCTGAACCGATCACAGAGTTCACCGAGGTGACAACCTTCGTGTCCGCGCCGACCATCCGTTATATACTCTCTCATTAAACAAATTACTTGTGTTCGTTTTCGTTGTCGCGAAGCTTTTGCGAAGGATTCATCTGGCGAGGAAAAGAGAAAAAGGAAGAAAGAATGGTACAAAAAGAGAGAGGAAGAAAGAAAGAAAGAAAGAAAGAAAGAAAGAAAGAAAGAAGGAGGGATTGAGACGATGATAGGTGGGAGTGCATTGGCCTCCGCGCGAGAGCATGGAGAGACGTAACGTATGAAAAGTATTCATTGCACGGAAAACAGCGTATACAAGAGCGCAACGGTGGGCTATACACAGGGTGTCCCGAGTTTAAATGTCAAAAGTCACTTCGAGAGCGTACAGACCTAACTAAGAACTGAAGAAAAAAAAAATTGCTCCGGTGAATCTCTCAAGGGAAATGCTCGTTTTCGCTCCATTTTCGAGAAAATCGTAAAAAAAAAAGTTTCAGTTCTATTCAGTAAGTTTATTCCAGCTGAATGTGAATCAAAAGGATTGAAATTTTTTTTTTTAGCTGCAGTACGCCAAACGTTAACCAGAACAATATATCTAGCTAATCAGAGCTGGTTCCACATAACGCAAGTGACCAGTCCTTTGAATACTTCATCTAACTCGAGATTATGGATCGAAAGATCAGCCATTAATGTGGAACTAAATACATCTGAATGATTTGATTGCTGTTTATTGATCAATGTTCATAGAATCAGTTCGATCTATGATTAATTGACTATGCTGGACTGAGACTGATCACAGTCTTGATTTATTAAAGTGTTGAACTAACACTAGCTGATCGAGGTCGAATTAAGATCGTCCTATTTTTTTCAGGCTTCATTAGCGTTTGCCGACTCTCTTTCAGTATATCTTGAGTGTGCAATAGTAAACTCCCCGGAAAGAGATGTCAAGGCCACATGAGGTTGGCAATCGAACGGATTTCCCAAGATTCCTCTGGGTATCTGTCAACACGATGATTGAATCGTTCCTAAGATTTCGTCCCTTCAAAATCTTGCTTTCACTGCACGACGTCTGCAGAACATCTTTGTCTGAAGTATTATTGAAATTAATTGCGACGTGATTTGGGTGGCCATACTATTGTATACAGTTCGTTCTACATCTCATGAGAAAATTTGTTAAGAATATGCATTATGTGTTCCTAATAGATAATATAAGATATAATAGATGATATTATAAGACAATATATCATAATTATATATATATATATTGTATTATATTAATAATTATATATATTATATTATTTTGTATATAATTATATATTATAGATGATATTATAAGACAATAACGATATATATATATATATATAGTATTATACTGTATATTATATTATATCATATTATATTACATATATCATATTATATATTATATTGTATATAATAATATATATTATAGATATCATAAGACAATACAACAGACGAACCAAGGGAAAGAATCATTTTTTCCCTTCTTTCGCGATTTTCTCCAAAACGAAGTGAAAACGAGCGAACCTCTAAAGGACATTTTTCTTTGGTTTTCGTCAGTCCCGTGCACGCCGCCGGAAGTTTTAAATTCGGGACACCGCGTACATTCGCACGAGGTAACGGAACGAAAGTTTTTCATGGCAAAAAAGTTCTGCCGAGCAGCGACAGAGAGTAGAGGCAAACTCCTCCGCTGCTCGTTACCGTTTTCCTCCTTTTTCCTGCTTCTTTTCGATAATTATCTAGATTGTTACGGAATAACAGCATCAGTTGGCTTTCACCAGGCGCCGCCAAGAATAAAACCGAAGCGTATCGACGCTCGTACATGTTTGTCGTACATATCGCGACAATGTTGCTCGGCGCAGCTATCGACGAGCATTGTATAATTAATGCACAACGTTATACACGACGCATAAAATTTTCGTGCGTTTATTCGCCGTTAGTCACAGCGTGTTCGTCCCTTTCCAACGAGGCACCAATGTCCAACGAGCTTTGGACGGTCGTTGACTCTTCAGCTAGTCGCTGAAGGGTCACACGAAGAACCCGACGCGCTCCCAGTTGACAGGCCCCGATATTTCTTCACCTGTCTCTCGCTAATTCGCGTAATAAACGTAGCCGATAAACAACAATTTCAAGATTCTCTTCGCGATGTTCGATCGTGTTTGAACAAAGTACTTAGATACGCCAAAGGCGAGTACAAACGAGACACAGAGCGGATATTATCGCGAGTTCTCGCGAGCAACGACGCGAAAGCTACGCGACTCGGAGAGAACGAGGGACGTACGAGGAAATCGGAGAAAGCAAAGAGAGGGTGGGTTGAGTGGAGAGAGGAAGATTCAGCGACGGTCCGGAGGAGAGGACCGAGGGGAGAAAACACACATACATACACACATATATATAGTCGGAACGACGACGCGGAAGGGGGATGAAAAGAAGAAGAGGCACGCGGAGGATCGATAATTCCTGTATTTACTCACCTCGTACACGTTCGGGTGCCAAACTTTCGTCATAAATCGGATGCTGGGTGGACTGTACGGATAATCCGGCGGGAACTTCATGTGTGCCTGCAACAGAGAGAAAACGCGCGTGTTACGACGCTGGCATGCTCCTCCATGTTCGACGCGAACGGGTCTCGATAATGATCTCGAAATTTATCGTTGAATTGTGAAAAAGTGGACGTCGTTTCGCTAATGAAAGTGAAAGTTATTGTAACATCACGACATGCCCGGGGGAAAAAAAAATCGAACGAGAATGATAGACGCTGGGGCTAGAGGCGTGCGTCTCGAGGGGCTCGAGGGAAACGTAATTGCGCGAGGGGTGAATTTACCCGGAAAACAGTCGATCACCGAGGGTAGTCCGTAAAATTCTATCTATTTTTTTTTTTTTTTTTTTTTGCGTATCGAAGGGATCGTCCTGCGACTCGACAGAGCGAAGGACCGTTCGTTAAAACGCCATTCGAGGCGTATATATATATACGATTCGCATTCAACGAACGAATAATCATTTTCTGAAATGGCGAAAACCGGCCGCGAGACAAAGGAGAGATATCGCCGATAATGGACGCGTAATGAACACCGTAGCTTTGTTTCGATAATAACCAGCGGAATAACGACAAGGTATCAGCAAATTGACGATCATCCGCGTGGTATCGTGCGGTGAAAACGGCGCGCAGAGCGGTGGCTGAGAGAGAGAGAGAGAGAGAGAGAGAAAGGGGGACGCGTGTTTCCTCTCTGCCCTCGCGCGCAAAGGGGTTGCATTGGTACAGAATGAGTCCGTTTCACACACGCAGGGCGTACGTAAGGGTCGTCCCGACGTTGTTGGGTCTCGACTTTCGTCGATGGTTCGCCGACGGGACGCTATATTGATCGCAACCTGGTCATGGCCCAAATATCCACTTCGTCCACCGGGATAACCGTCGTCCTACAATTAACTAACTTTCCATTCGGCCTTTCTTTGTTATCACCGCGGTTAGAATCATCCATGGAGCTTGGAATCTCGCGTTTTTGATTTTAATCCTTTTTGAAGAGGATTTTAACGTTTGAAACGTTCTCGAAGCGATACAGGAACAGACGAATCTTCGAACCGGCCGTAACAAGCGGCGTTAATTGTGTTGCGCTTATCGATACGACGCGGGAAAATCGATTCGGAGTTATCAGTGAGTAATCTCACGCGACATCGTGCAGGCGAGAGGTATTCGCGGAATCGGAGACAAGATCGATTGTCCGTCCAATCATTTTACGTGCAGAAATAACGCAACGTTCCATGATCGGACACGGGAATTGCCTCGATCTTGCGATCGAAAAGGGAAATTGTACGTGATACGATGTGGAAAAACAAGCAACAGGGAGGGGGGAAAGAAGAAATGGTAACACTGTCTGATTATGTGAACGAAGCAATCGACGCGTACGTTCGATTCAATAATGCAATGCTCTTGACACGTGACAGGGACACGTTACAATAACGTACTGGACGGTGAGAAAACATTATACTTATGTATGCACGTTCATAGATGTACGTTTGGAGATCTCAGTGTGCAAAAAAAATGAATGATTAACCCTTCTGCAAGCGTCAGCTGTTGCAAAGTAATGGCTATGTAAATCGATATTATACATATTTAATAAGTAGAACAAGTTGCTGACTGGATATCATAAAAATACGAATTAACGATTACGTGTACGAAAGAAATCAAGGTAACGTAACACGTGTATGTAAAACTGTCTCACAGAATGTAGCACGAGTAAGTCTCGTCTCGTCAAAAAGAAAAAAAAAAACAAAAAGAGTTCGAACAAACTTTAGAACAGGATGACAACTTGAATTTAGATGATCGCCGCGAGTCATCAAAATTAGAGTTCAAAGATTCGGCTCGAACGACGAATTTACGTGAACGAAAAGTTTAAAAAGCAGGAGGTTTTCGACTGCGCGATGATATGTAGAAACGGAGCACGGTAGAAAGATGACCCATTTTCTGTTGTCGCGATATTTCAAAGGGTCATTTACTCGCCGGTTTTTCGCCCGTCGACTCGGCTGCGCCCCGACTGTGACCTATAAATTTCCTCGACCTATTTCGGCGATAAGCACTTGACGGTCACCCCTTAGATGGCACTGCACCGCGCAGCTCGGCATCGTTCCTTGGAAAAACTTCGCGCCAATTCAGGAGGATCAAGGAGTGGCCCAAATCAGGAAGACAGGAAGACATCGTGTCCCCTTCAAGCCTTACTTAACACACTTACACTCTTTCAAACGACGCCTCACAGAGAAACGGACAAAAATGGAATTGTCGTATTTATACTGACGCTGATTGGTAATTGGGGACATTTAAGTACCAAGCAAATTGTGCTCCATTCTTTTTTTCAAACTGGAAAATTCTAGTTGGCCATCTCCAGCGATAGAAAAAGTAAATAATAACTCGCGAAAGTATATATATTCATAGAAAGTATCTACGAGTGTTCGTAAGTCTGAAGAAACGTTAGGTGTGAAACGAAGAAGAGTAGCGTGGGGCCGCGGTTAGTCGATAAAAATAAGAAGCACGCGTGGCTCTCCCGACCTTCGAAATTTCTGAGACGTTTGTCAAAGGCACGGAAAAAGAAAACGTAGGAGACGCATTTCGTATTTTTTTATAAATATCCGCGGTCTGTTCGTCGTTCGCGGTAAAAACAGGAAAATTGAAGGTTGTACTTGCCCCTCCGACCATAAACACTCGAAATAATTTCGTTCTTTTCTCTTCGTTGTACGTGTACACTTGAGCATATATTTCCGTCGATTCTGGGATCTTTCGAGTCGTTTAGTCATTGAAACTTTACTCTCTCTCTTTCTCTCTCTCTCTCTCTCACGATATTTCTTTGTCTTTCTCTCTTGGAAATGTTTCGTTAGGAATTACGCGTATATACTTTCGCTTGAAAATTCCAAGTTAATGACCTCGTTATCACGATCAGCAGGTATTAACGCGACTCTGTACACGGGCGAGCGAAGTACGCGATTATCGGCTTAAATTCACGGACGCGAGCAAAAGCCGAAAGACAGAAAAAGACCAAGTTTCGTTACTCCCACTTTCCATTCTTATTTCTCGTAGAATCGTAGAGTCTCCCATCTCGTATACATCGCGAGTCGAGTTGGTTTCTCGCGCTAGCCCATCTTTCACCGTGTTGTTCAGGTGAAAGGATTAAATAGGTCGAAATCAGGGGGGAGGGGTGGGAGTCTTGATGGGACTAGATTACACGACACGACTACAGGTAACACAAAACAGGTATGCACCGAGAAGACCCATTTATCGGTGACAAGAGTTCGCGAGGTACGACGGTTTCCCCGGGAGAAAAAGATCCGATCCGTACGATCTTAGCCAGAGTGGCGCTAGGTGAAAGTCGTTTCAGACGATTCGAGGGATGCCGGCCAAAGATAGACGCGAGACAATGCTCGAATGGTGTGTGTTTTATGTAACGTGGCGACGTTTGCCGGGTCGATTCGCAAATCCTCGAAAGAGAAACGATCGTTGACAGCGAGTTATGACTTCCGCTCGGTAAATGGAACTGTCCATGGTGATTGGCGACTGCGCGCGATTGCGTTCCTGACGATCGGAACTTCATTCGACCGACGAATCTGCGCTACGCCGCGTATCTGTACACATTCCGCGTCGATTAAACGGAGAGCGTTGTCAGGATGAACACGATTCCGAGAACGAGTCGCGTTTCTACCTGGGCTACATCCGTGCGATAATCGCAAACGTGTTAAAATACCGCGAGTCACGTTGCGACGATTTTCGATTTCAACTGGTTGGCAAAGATTTTGTAACAGGAAGTGACGAATGTCCTCGATTTACGCGATTTTATACGTTATATATATATGTTACACATATTAATCATACCACGCTCTTAACACTAGAACCATCAAAGTGGTCAAAATTTTCTAATTCATAATTTTTTTTTTTTTAGATATATTACAGATGCAAAACTAATTTGTAGAGATTTAAATTTTTATAAAATACACGAATAAAAGTTTCTACATTCTGTTGTATTTCTATTTTTTTTTTCACTTTAATATCTCCGATGAAAATTCTATGCTTTAGCCCTTCTGTTAAAGACTTCACACGTACAGCACACATGCGGCCAAATTTCGGCACGTGGCAGTATATATTTCAAGACAGCATATATTTCCACGTGGCGCATTACCCCGAATCAATCGCTAAAACAGACGTTAACTCGGTTCACTGTCACTTCGCGAATTTTCTCTATTATTTTACAATGGCTCGAGAAAATATCTGAGCATTCGTAGAAACTTTTGCTCGACATGTTACGTTGTTATAATTCCATTAATCGCCATGATCAGAGAACAACAAAGAACAATGTCACCGTAATAATAACGTGTAACGACGTTGTTTACAATAGAGGCGCGTTACGATTATGAAGCGCGGGTCTAGAGTCTTATTGAGACACTCGCGTAAGTAGATGTTGATCACGTGTATAGAACGATACGATTCACAAATAACGGTGTTGCTGTCAGATCCAGGCCCGTTGCGGCCAGTTACACTGTGGGAAGATAGGTAACGCTGGCGTTACGTGAATAAGCGTTCGTAAATTCATAACGAAGCAGAGAGTGGTTTAGAAAGCGGACGCGAACTGCACAAAAAAGAAAAAACCGTATAACTGTACGGCAGTGATACACAATTCGTTTTCTGCTCGCTGAAAACTAGACTGATGCAGCGATAACGAAGTAATTTAAAAATATATTTTTCTCAAAAATGTACACGTACCGTGGAGTATATATGACAATTTCACTTTTCACGCTTTAAATTTTGAATCGTGTTGTACGTACGATTGCAATTACGTGATATATCGTAAGCGCCGGTTTGAAAGCATTTGCTGGAACCAATAGTGCTGCATCGTGAGATGTATTATCGACCATGTGAAAAAAAATCCGATAAAAAGAGTTTTATAGGGAAAATTAGCATGGAACGCGATCGATCCGATCGTATTGAGTAATCTTTAATTTTCAGGATTACTCAACGCTGCTTGAAAGTCGCCGTTTAACTTGTACGTGGAAACATTCGTCGAATCGTAACACGGGTAGATTACAGCGACGATAGTCACTGAAACATCTATTATCAGCGATCCGCCACGGCAAAATTACTCATTCACTGTTGTTGCTTTTCTGGTCAAGGTAATTGTAATATTTCGCGTGTCATCGTCGAATAACACTTTTGGAATGTACAAGTCGCCAAAGTTGGTGAATTTTTGAGAGATAGAAATGCAAAAGAGGTTGAAAAAATATTAAAACAACATTCGTATTACAACGATAAAATTATGTACGACGCACATAATGTTCAAGATTAATATTAAGATTATGCATAACACGTATAATCTTGCATATAACGTACATAGTCTTGTGTATAACAACACATAATTTTACACGTAAAAAAAAATATGTAACCGTATTTAGCAATCAAAACAATATCAAAAGCAAATAATACGTGTAAACTCGCATCGTTGAAAGAGACAGCAGAAACATAACCAACAAAATGAAAAGTATGCCCCCCCGACTGTGATGTTTACATGGAAAAAAAGGACACGAATAACGGAGTTTTTTAGCTCGGCCGAGTTTCCAAAACGAACAAAGCCAAGAATAATTCAAATAATTACCTTGAAGTATCCTCCTTGGTAAAGCGTATCCGGGGGCCCGAAGATAGCTACTTCCCACTCAAACATGTTGTCCTCGTTAACGAGTTTTACTCGGAATCCCTCGACGGGCTCCTCTTGAAGGCTTTTATATTCGAGGGCAAGTGCCCTTAGTGCGCTGCTCGTTGTTTGTGCCATATTTCTCTTCTGGAAGTAGAGTCTGCAATCTGTTCCAGGAAGCGGAACGTCCTAAAACCTCCCGAAGTGGTACCACAGAACACTATAGTCGGACGGACGCCTTTACACTGCTCCTTCTCGACAGAATAAATTTCCAGACAATTTGTGGCTTTTACTACGGTTCCGTTAGCTTTTCCTCGACGCGCCGTGACCTTTCACTCGCGGCAGGACGTTTTCTATGATGATAGTACGATTCTGCACATCAAATAAACAAAGAAATATGATCAGACCCACAAACTGCGAAGTGCCCCTCCAATCAACAATATAGTATTCCCAACGCACGCACCTCTAACAAAACAGCTGACGTACCGTCTGCGTCAGCGTTGCTTCTCGCGCACGCGCACTTCGATATTCCCTATTTTTCTTCCGTGACACTTTCCCAACGAAAATTAATCCAGAATACACCGATCGTTGTGTTTACACTGACTGGAAAGCCTTCTTTTACATTATTCCGCTTGACGCCTAAAAACTTGGAACAACTGAGTATGAGTTTAATAAGTTTCTAGACTTTCTGTTTCCTGATTGGAAAGTAAGTCTCCAATCACGTAACGCGTAAAGAAACTATATACGTACGTATATAAATCGTCGCTCAAATCTTTCTTGTAAAGCTGCGTGCTGATTGTATGTTTTTGCGTAGATACTAACGGAAAGAACCAATCAGAGGGCAGCAATGTGTACGGTATTCTCATTGGATGGCGCTGGACAAGAGCACGACTGACTAACTCTATTGGATATTAATAATTAGCCAACGTGTATGAAATCTTCATAGTAGATGTTATGTGGTTAATACCTACATGACGAATCATGTTTTTGAAATTAATTAAAAAAACAAGATATTGCATAAGATACGAAAGATAAAACAAATATAATAATATTAATATTAGAGTACGAATAAATATAAAAAAAATATTTCAATATTTCAATAGATAACATTCTTATCATATTTCTGTAGTGTTGTTATAAAAAATTTGTTGATACATGATGACATTTAATTTTTTTGTGTACCTATCCCCACTTTGCACGTATAGTGGTATAACATTTTGTACTTAGAGTTAGTTAAGTCAGTTCCCTGTACATCGCAGACATAACGTAATTCATAAGATACGTTTTATACAACGTGAATTATAGAATTAATTCATACTGAATACATTTATTATATACAAAATTCACAATGTCCACTTTGAACACACCTCTTGTAGAGCCTGAGCTTTTTAAAACTTTTGCATTTTGGGGCAGTATACTTGCTATAAAATTACTCGCAATGGCACCATTAACAGCACGTTACAGATTTAAAAATAAGGTATGTATTAAAAAATTATTTTATTAACGTGCAATAATTAAAAAATTATCTTTTTTTATATTGTATAGAAAAATAGAAATTATAATTTCTATATTTATTGTTGCAGGTATTTTCAAACATTGAGGATACAAAAGGACTAAAAGGAGCAAAAGTTAATACCAATGATCCAGAAGTTGAACGCGTACGCAGAGCACATTTAAATGATTTAGAAAATATTCTTATATGGTATATCGTTACATTCGCTTGGTTAACCACAGGACCTTCTGCATGGTTAGCTACAAATTTAATCAGGAGTTTTGTACTTGCTAGAGTTGGTCACACAATATCGTATGCTATTTTGTCAGTACAACCACATAGAGCAATAGCTTTCTTTGTAGGCTTTCTCATTACTGTATATCAAGCAATTAGCACTGTGTTGTATTATTATTAAAATGTTAACATTCCCTTTTTATTTTTATATATTCTTTAATTTTTTGTTAACGTAATTATTAATAAAATGTATTAAAAACTTAAATAATATTTTAATTATTTAAAACTCTGTCTACATTGAAAGAACTTATTTACTTTTTTCTTTCATCTTGATATCAAAATGATTTAAAAATAAAGTGTAGATAACTAATATTGTATCAATTATTATCTCATTTCGTATAATGATAATATAAAGCTTTATAGTAATTTATATGCCAATATGGAATTAATATAAATTGTTATTTAATATGTTTGAATTTATGTATATTATATTCTTGCAATAAATCTTATTAATCTAGATATTAGATATTTGATGGAAATATCTTTGAACATAGTTTAATATCAAGGACGTATTATCAGTAATTTTTACTCCAAGTATAGTGGACTTTGTATCATGAATAATGTGCAAGTCAATTCATATGTAAATACTAATGAATAAGACATGCATAAATGTGTATATATATATATACATACTGGTCAAAAGTGAAATTATTTATTCTTAAATGGATTGTGTAATTATTGCTTATGTACAAACCTATTATATTTAATATACTTATTATATAAGTTGAGAAATTTCTGGATTACAAAACTTTCGTCTGTGTATATAAAACATTTATCTTTTGAAGAATCATGTTGTTGCCTATAGTTATCTTCAATACCACAAGTCACGTTTATTAATGTCAATAACATTTGTTTAAAATTCGAAAAATTTAGAAATTATCTTTTTCACTTTCGTTAATTACAGTCTTAGTATAAACTTAAAAGATATAATTATTGTTACGTTTGCTATATTGCGAGGATGACTGAAACACACTCGTCGCACTTTGTTTTTATTGGTTATATATTATCGGAAGTCATTTCCGGTAGTTGTATATTGCCGCGTTATAATCTACGTAATAGAAACGAAGTGCGCATGAGCAGACGTTGTTGTCCGCGGTCGTCATGGCGACGTTGTCTCGACGCCAATGGGCGCGGGAACGTCAGACGTCGCGATGTATCTGTGAGGTGCGAACCGCCGTCGGTGCAACGGCGTCCCGCCGTTACCGAATGTGTGCCAAACGTTTGTTCGGTTTCGTCGGGGAAACAATGCATTGTCTCATTGCGTACACCTCCGAACAATCAACATCACGACATCGCGATTCGGCAGTGTTCGACGAAACCACTGTCATCAGTCGCCGATACGATGTCAATTCAGTCGATATGACGCGTAGAAACTCTGACAGGAGGATATAAACTGAAAGGTGAGTGTTAACTTGACTTTTCAAACTCACCGAAACTTCTTTACCGATACACAATAAAAATCACGCTGTCACCTGAATGTGGAAACGGAAGATGAAAACGTTTGACGTTTCGTATCGTTTACGTTGGTTAAGATTTAAACGCACGATACCTCAGGACTCGTGAGCAACATTTGCTCTAAACATCTCGACCGTTTAACCCGGACGTGCGTAAAACGCAAGAAAGATCGTACGTTAAGCGGAGAACGCAATGTGGGATTTTTCTCCCTTTGATCTGATGTAAGTACGGGTGCCTTTGTACGTGGTACATAAAATCGGACGTGGCTTGTCTTTGATCTGTCTTCCGGAAAGCGCAATTTCTATGGTTTCCTATTTTCCTGAAAATTTCGTTCGTACGAAACTTGGAGAATAGCTTTGCTTTCACGTTTCGGATCGTTCGTTTGAATGCAAACGAGAATTGTTGTTCGAAGTTTAAATTTTGCATCGGGAAGTTTTGCAAGAGTTGTCACAGCGTCAACGACGATGCCACACGTCCGACAGCAGTGTCAGAACGGTTGCCGCTTCACAGGGGTCCCACGCACGATCCGATTTCCTCGTAAGCTAACGTCCACTGTAGGAGTATCGATCAATTACGATTGACGCAACCAATAATTCTTCGGTGGAAGGAAGAACGAAAGAAAAAAAAGAGAGAGGAATCACCTCGCTAATCTATCGTGCTTACATATTCACCATTCTGTCGTGATTCGAATATAAGGGTGTACATTCGTGCGACAATTTCGTGATCGATTTACATCGCGCTTATTTCTACCGTTCACCATATTCCATATGTGCATCGCGATATGGCTCGTTTCTTTCAGTACCGCCTTCATGTACTTTCTATTGTTTCATCAATACTCTCTCTGGTAACCGCATCTGCAGCGCTAGAGAGATATACCTGTACGTATATGTGTATATGTGTATGTATATCCGCCCGCGTGGACGCGTCCCTTGTATAAGCACGATCTCTGTTGTTCCCCGTTGATCCCGATAGAATTCTACGGGAGGAAGATGGAGTTCGCGTGCGAGAGTACTCGCGAGCGATATCTAGGCCGACGTCTTTGAAACGGTTCTTCCGAAAAATGTTAATATTGGCGGTCGATGTGATTATCCGCGATAATAAAGTGTGCGTGGTACGCGACACATGTTGACCCCGTAGCTTCTGTTCTCAAGATAAGAGGTCCCTTTCATGCGTGCCAATGCTGCCTGCGGTCTACTCTGCATGCGGCTCGATAACTGTCGATACTGCCGACAACTTTCTGTTCTGTGGTTTGGTCTTATGCGTGAACCACCGGACGAAATTGCATCGTAATTACATTTCTATCGATACCCTTTGGTGACTGTCACCATTTGTCGCAGCGAAATCTGTCTCGATATATATATATATATACATACAGGGTGTCCAAAAAGATTGGGACCAAGCTACGTGTCACTGAGGTCAAATAGATGAAAAAAGTTCCTATAAACTTATGTCCGAAAATGCTTTGTTGAAAAGGTATAAGCTTCTAAAGATATTTATGATTTATTATAAGAAATGTTCCAAAATTCCTCCTTCTGCAAGAATGCAGGCTTCCATTCGTCGAATTAGTGATTGTCGAGCTCGTTCAAATATTCCATTTGCATTGGAGATAATAGTAAATGCATTTCGAATACATTCCCAAAGTATCAGGTGACTTAGGAGGCTGCGACCGATCCAACGTTGAGGGAATTTCTTGTATTAAGAAATTCACGTACATTCAAAATGTGACGGGGCATCATCATGTTGAAACCACATTTGACAGCGTGTTTCCAATGAGACATCATGCAACATAATCGTGAAGATTATTTTTGCAATAACCTTATTGAGAATTTCTGATAAGTCGAATTTTGTCCATAAATCTTTGAACGCTTATATCTTTCCAATAAAACATCTTCGGACATAAGTTTATCTGAACTTTTTTCATCTCATTTGACCTCAGTAACACGTAGTCTAAGTTTGGTCCCAACCTTTTTTGGACACCCTGTATATATATATATATACATCCATGACACAAAGGCGTAAGATTAATCAACGTCATGCACACTTTTCGATCAATTATGTATCGTGTTTGCTATTTGCTTCGCGTGCCCTAATTCCCACTATCCCTTTTCTCTCGGCTGAACAACGACACCAAGTTGAATTGGGTCTGGGCAGTCCGGTTTCTCAAAAGTACGATGATGAATTGCTTAGCGCCGCGCGTACATGGAGCGATCTTGCTTAAGTAAATGCAGATTGACAACCACTGTACAAGCCTGTAATTTAGTGTCATGGCCGTGCACGGAGAAACGCGATCTCTCGTCTACTTACGTACGTAAGCGGCTGGCCACGTACTATATGGGTATATCACGATATGGGCCTTACGAACACTCTCGAATATTTATCGCTGTATTAAGGATCGTTCGAGGAACAGACTTTACCCTTACCGCGAGTGAGTAAACCGAACGAAACGGTCCATGACATCACCGGCCTGCAAATGCATTCGCGTATCATCCCCCTACCATCTTGTCCGTAAAATTCGTATGTCCGCTTATATGGATCGTTTTGCCTCGAACGTAACGAGAGGCGGCGCCTCCTCTTCTCTCGACTTTTTGTTCGTACATATTCCGATATGTATATATATATACCGTGGAATTATATCAGCTTCCTTTAACGTAAATCAATGCGATACATGAATGTGTCCCCGTTCCATAGATCCTTGTTCATAACCGTGGGATTAAACCGATATCGGTATGCTCCTGAGCGTGATCATTTTTATGGTCGGCTCGCCGATGAAATTACCATCAAATTCTTCATTATACGCTCGGCAAACTGCTAGTTAAACCGCTTAACGGTCTTTTCATTCGGTTTAATGTAATTTCGTTTGGCTTCGTTGATCGTATTATTACATGTTTTCCACGCTGCTGCTGTTTACCATATCGAAACACTGTGTCCTCCATTATGCAGTTTTCCCCGCGATAAAATTGATCCTTTTCGATCCAGCCACCCTGATTTCGTCGCTCTTGCGAAGGGCCTCCACGCCGAGCGAGAAATTTCTTTCAGCGCAGCTTCACGAAAATTCGACGTCGAAAATTTCACTGGGTAGGGAACGCGAAAGTTGCCGATAATCGAATACCAGAAAGTACGTATCGTGTGCCGTACGGGAAAGTGCCGTAGAATTTATACACGAGCGAGCAACGTGCAGCATTGGTGATTCCATGAGAATGACGTATTTTACGTATTCAACGGTAACCATGCGTGACCGTGCGTTCGTTTCCCTTTGTGCGATGATGATGAGGACCGGGTACAAAGCGCGTTGCAAGTATATATATATATATATAAAACGTTCCGGCCGAAAGCTTCCGAAGTTGCTGCATTATTATAAACGAAAACTGTTTTCCTTTTTTTTTTTTAAGACTCTGCGTACGATCCCAATTCGAATGAACGTCCCTCGCGCGAATTGGAGATTATCAGGCTCGAAGGAGGATGGAGAATAAATTTTTTTTTGTAGTCGCGAAGGAAACATTCGAAGCAGGTATTTTAATTATTTTGCGAGAGAGAGAGAGAGAGAGAGAGAGATGGGGGGGGGGAGGGGGCGATAGGACCTGGAGATCTGGAAGACTGGATAGAATGGCGCGCAAGGGGTCGTTATAGAGGTCAGAGTACATTGCTTCGTTTTAGAAGCGGAATTACAAAAGTTTCCCTTTTAACGTTAATTAATAAGAGAACGCGCCGTACCGTGCTTCATTATAGCGCTATCCATTATAAAAGGAGCCA